GCTGCAGCGCTGCCTGTCCGCGCTGGACCTGACCCTGCTGGGAGTGGGGGCCATGGTGGGCTCGGGCCTCTATGTGCTCACCGGTACCGTGGCCAAGGAGATAACCGGCCCAGCCGTGATCGTGTCCTTCACTGTGGCCGCCGTGGCCTCCCTGCTGGCAGCCCTGTGTTACGCTGAGTTTGGGGCACGCGTGCCCCGCACAGGCTCTGCCTACCTGTTCACCTATGTGTCCATGGGCGAGCTGTGGGCCTTCCTCATCGGCTGGAACCTGGTGCTCGAGTACGTCATAGCCGGTGCTGCTGTGGCCCGCGCCTGGAGCGGCTACCTGGATGCCATGTTCGACCACCACATCCGCAACTTCACCGAGGCCCATGTGGGCATCTGGCAGGTGCCCCTCCTGGCCAGATATCCTGACTTCCTGGCTGCCGGCATCCTACTTTTGGCCTCCACCTTCGTCTCCTGTGGAGCCCGTGTCTCCTCCTGGCTCAACCACACCTTATCTGCCATCAGCATGATCGTCATCCTCTTCATCATCATCCTGGGGTTTGTCCTCGCCCGCTCACACAACTGGGGCAAGGAGGAGGGCGGCTTTGCACCCTTCGGCTTCTCCGGTATCATGTCCGGCACCGCGACCTGTTTCTACGCCTTCGTGGGATTTGACGTCATTGCCGCCTCTAGTGAGGAGGCCCGGAACCCGAAGCAAGCCGTGCCCCTGGCCATTGCCATCTCGCTTGGCCTCGCAGCCAGCGCCTACATCCTGGTCTCCACTGTGCTCACCCTCATGGTGCCCTGGCACAGCCTGGACCCTAATTCAGCGCTCGCTGACGCCTTCTACCAGCGGGGCTACAGCTGGGCTGGCTACCTCGTGGCGACTGGCTCCATCTGCGGTAAGTGGGGTCCTGCCCTGGCCTCCCCGGGAACACATCTCCAGCTGGGCCTCCATTTTACCAGTTGTATAATGGACCCGGGAAAGGGCTACTTATTAGACTCCACCCAGGCTTGTTGGCAGAGACCTACTCAACCCACTCCCCGTTGTACATGGTACGTCGGTCTGGGCGTGTGCTTCTGTGTCCTTTCCTGGACAGAGGTACTCAGCCTTCACCAGATTCCCCAGTGGCCTGTGACCTAAACTGAGGTGTCCCACTCCTGGGTTGGGGGAGTGACAATCCTGCACCCCATAGGCACTCAGGCTCACTCTGAGAACCCAGACTCGTGCGCATGCTCCCGAGGTGCCCCAGCCGTGGCCCGTGGGGTGTCTATGTGCCGTGCTGACCAGCCCCCGCCCTCTGCTGCAGCCATGACCACTGTCCTGCTCAACGGTCTCTTCTGCCTTCCCCGCATCATCTACGCCATGGCTGCCGACGGGCTATTCTTCCAGGCATTTGCCTACGTGCACCCCCGGACACAGGTGCCTCTGGTAGGCATCGTGGTGTTCGGGGTTCTCACGGCTTTGGTGGCGCTGCTGCTGGACCTCGAGGCATTGGTCCAGTTCCTGTCCATTGGCACACTGCTGGCCTACACCTTCGTGGCCATCAGCATTATCGTGCTGCGATTCCAGAAGGCCCCTCTGTCCAGTTCCCCAAGCCCAGCCAGCCCCCGCCCTGCGGCCAAGGAGTACAATTCCTTCTCAGACCACATAGAGCTGGTGGGCACCGAGCAGGTCCCAGCCCCCGAGCCTGGGCAGCTGCAGCCAGCCCTGAGGCCCTACTTGGGCTTCCTGGATAGGTGCAGCCCTGGAGTGGCCGTGGCTTCAGCGATCTGTGTCCTGGTGGCCTCAGCCATCACCCTGGGCTGTGTGCTGATCTTCGGGGACTCAGCCCTGCACCTCCCTCGCTGGGGCTACATCCTGCTGCTTCTGCTCTGCAGCATCATGTTTCTGCTCAGTCTCCTCGTCCTGGGGGCCCACCAGCAGCAACGCCAGCAGGACACCTTCCAGGTACCTCTCTCCACTCCCAACACCCACTTGCTGTCAGCCCACCAGCTCCCTTCTCCCCCTCATCCTCCGCTGCAGCGGGATGACCACGGCTCACAGGCTGGGGAGGCAGCATGCACATCCACCTGTGTCTGTGAGCGGGCCCTGGTCTCCAGAATCTCCAGAGGCAGAGAAAGGCTCTGAGGCCTCTAGAGCAGTTGGGCCCTGGGCCAGCAGCCTCCCCTGCAGCCCAGCCCAGCCCTACCCTTGCCCCTTCAGATCCCCATGGTGCCCCTGATTCCAGCCCTGAGCATTCTCCTCAACATCTGCCTCATGCTGAAGCTGAGCTACCTGACCTGGGTGCGCTTCTCCATTTGGCTGCTGATCGGTGAGTGGGGGGCCAGGCTGGTGTCCTGGGCCGGCTGCAGGAGGAAGGTGAGGAGGGCGAGCAGGGCTGGGACCTGCCATTCATGCTCGCGCCACCCCTGCAGGACTCTTGGTATATTTCGGCTATGGCATCTGGCACAGCAAGGAGAACCAGCGGGAGCTGCCGGGGCTGACCATCACACGCTATGTGGTTTTCCCTAGCGGCAGCCTGGAGGAGACGGTGCAGGTCGTGCAGCCCCCCAGCCAGGTGCCAGCCCAGGAGCCCAGCAGTCCATGAGAGCTGCCTGCCCTACATCCAAGGAAGCTCCGGTTTGCAGGCCTGTCCACGCTAGGGGGGTCCTTTGGACTGTAGTTCAGGGGCCGAGCTTCGAGTCTTTGGAGCCGGTGTGGCCAGCGCTGGTGTGGTGGACTCTTTGTGCAGTGCCTTCCAGTTTATGACCAACTCCAGCAACCTGGGCAGGTGGGGTAGGGCGGGTGGGGAGGAAGCCCCAGCCTCAGGAATCCACGATAATAACTGCTTAGCCAGCCATGTGGCCTGTGTCGTGTCCATTGTTCTTTGAGGCACTGAGTCCTCACCTGCCCCCAGGAACCACGTGATTGTCCCCAGTGCAAAGCAAAGGTGCAGAAGTTCTGCAAGGGGGAGATGCCAGCCCTGGGACAGCCCTTAGTCGAGGACACTCAGGCCAGTGCCCTCTGCCCTGCTCAGAAGGCACTATACATACACCCATATGCACTAGGTACAAGAGGGGCAGTGTCAGGCTCCCCTCCTCTGGGGGATGGGTCCCGACTGAAGTGCCCGGGCCCCAAGAAGGCCACCTAGAAAGGGCAGCAGAGTTCGGGGTCCCCTTGGTTTCTCCAGAGCATGGCATGTGCCTGAGGCCTGCCTGGGGAGGCAGAGGCACACGCACACAGGCACACACAGAGCTTCAAGCATATATCCACGTGCCTGCACGGCTACCCTGGGGTGCGCACTATGTGCAGACTGAGGCAGCAGCTGTTTCCAAGCTCAGACCCTGGTGCTGCTCTCCAGCTGCCCCAGGGGATGCGTGTGCAAGAGCCTGAACCTGCCCCAAGTGCCTTCCAGCCTCCCTGATCCTTGGGGTGGGGTCCCCAGGCCCACCCTGCACTGCCCACTGGTCTCCCAGGTGATGCTGTGCCCACCACAGGCACCACTAGCTCCCGTCTCTGCCTGTAAGGAGCACGCAGGAAGCTGCTGTCGACAGGCTTTACTCCTGGACACTGAAGCCATACATCAGCCTTCTTTGAGCCCCGTACATGGGACCCCGCCCTGGTAAAGACCTCAGGGCCATGTTCTCTCATCCTGACCTTTGTGGCCTGCCTCCCCAGGGACACTGCTCTGGGGATTGGGAGGCAGCAGGGACCCCAAGGCTTTGCTGAGGCTCCAGATGCCAGATGGTTCCAGATGCTAGCCCAGCCTGAAGCCCAACCCTGCCCTCCCCAGCTGACCCATGTCACTGCCCCGGCAAGCGGCCAGCATGCCTAGTCACCGGCCCATGAGAAAGCAGCCCCTCGCCTCCCAGGTGGGCACTCCCAAACCCCTGCCGCTGCCCTGGGGCCAAATCAGGGTCAGACCCCTGCAGCCAGTCCCTCCCTCCCAGCTGTAGGCTCCCTGCCGCATGGGGAGTTCTCCAGCGGGCAGGACTCACACCCTGTGAGGACGTCACAGCCAGATCCAGGCCAGCCTGCCGGGGCCTCTGGAATTTGTTTGGGGCATTCCTTCTGGCCACTGGGCTCCACCCGAAGCGAAGGACAGGGCCTCCTTCGAGCAGTTGCCTTGGGCTGGTTCTTAGGTGTGTGACCTTGGGTAGCAGTGAATTCCAGATATACATTCTCCCCACCCCCACAGTTCCAGGAGGTTGAGCTGGGTGTCATCAAGGAGCACACAGATGGTCCCAAAGGACCCAATGATCACCAACTCAGCTTCTCTATCCTCTTCTCCCAATCCCAGCCCTCCACAGTCTGAGGGCTGCCACCGGGAAGGGCTGGTGCATGCGCCATTGCCGGGTCCTATAGTGGGTTGGGTCATCTGCCTGCCGCAGTCTGAATTCCATGGATGACCCCCCACAAACTGGGTGGGGACGAGCCCCAGGTACCCAGCACCAGAGCAGCAGAGACAGCCAGCCCTCTTGTCAGACCTCTTTCTACCCTGCCCTAGACTACGGCAGCACAGACCCCGGAAAGGTGCTGAGAGGGTGGGGGCTCTACCTACAATGGGGGTGCTGCTGGGGGAGAGGGCTAGAGTCTGCACAAGCCATTGGAGGATCTGTGCTGACCACTGGTGACTGGGCCACTGCTGGAAGCCCTGGTGACAGAGCTGGGAGAGAGTTCTCCAGACACAGCTGGAGCCCTTGTGACCAGCGCCCTGGGACATGTTCCGCTGCAGGTCTCTGTGCAATAGTAGCTTCTGCTGCTCCCTGGGCAGTACCCTGCCGAGGCCAGAGTCAGGGTAGGGACAGTGTGCCTGGGAGTTGAAGGATGGCATTCTCCCACTCCCTGCCCTGGTCCTGCTGGGGCTCCATCCATGAAGTTCCCAAGGTGAGGCCCCTCCCTTCCCAGCCCCGACCCCTGACAGCAGGGAACAGGCCTCAGGAATGGGCCAGCAAGCAGGAGCCAGGGCCAAGGCTTTGGTGTCTAGCTCCTGGTAGCAGCCCTGGCCGTTGGGACAGGTGCTGGGCCCCCCCTAAGGATCCTGGGCAGCCAGGTGCAGGGGTGCAGATGCCGGTTTTGTCTGCTCAGGGCTGGCGGTCACCTTTGGAGCTTTTGCCTGCAGATAAGGACAGCAGGTCGGGGCTCAGGCCGACGTTCCCCAGAAGTGTAGCAGAGCCCAGGGGCCAGGCAGCCCAGCAGCTTACCTCCTCATACTTGGTCCTCCAGTAGAAATGAGCTTCTCCATCCACGTACAACAGCAGCAGGTCACAGAGGAAGGTGATCTGGGAGAGGCAGGACTGACCTGTGTCCCGGCCCCCAACCTGCCCTCCCGCCACCTCCCCAGACCTCCCCCCAACTAGACCTAACGTCAGGGGGCTTGGCTGTGCCATCGGTTGGGCCTGGGCCCACATTCACCAAAGCCAGAGGGAGCACACCTTAGCCAGACTCACCACGCCCAGCCAAGCTGCTCCTGTGCCCAGAGTGATGAGTGTGGGGATGAGCCCGAACTTCCCTGCCTGAGAGACCTGGGTGAGCCTCTAAGCCGTGCCTGTCACCCCCCACCCACCTGCCCCTGCCCACCTACCCGCCCAGTGACGAGGATGTCAAAACGGATCCCGTAGAGCTTTAGCAGACTCCGGGCCTCCACACCCGAGGCCTCCCACCAGTGAGTGGCCGTCCTGGGGGCAGGAGAGAGTCTGGTGGCCTGTTCTGCCCGCTTTCTGGCCAGTCTGGCCCTCCCAGGCCTCCATCTTACTCACCCACTGACTCCACAAACCCCCAGCCCTACCCTGAATCCTGGGTTGTTTGTTGAGGATACAGGGGAA